GATAGGTGAGGTAGGGGAGATAGGTGGTAGAGGGGAGATAGGTGAGGTAGGGGAGATGGGTGAGGTAGGGGATGGGTGAGGTGGGGAGATAGGTGAGGTAGGGGCGATGGGTGAGGTAGGGGAGATAGGTGGTAGGGGAGATAGGTGAGGTAGGGGAGATAGGTGAGGTGGGGAGATAGGTGGTGGGAGATAGGTGAGGTAGGAGATAGGTGAGGTAGGGGAGATAGGTGAGGTAGGGGAGATAGGTGAGGTAGGGGAGATAGGTGAGGTAGGGGGAGATAGGTGAGGTAGGGAGATAGGTGGGGTGAGGGGAGATAGGTGAGGTAGGGAGATAGGTGAGGTAGGGAGATGGGTGAGGTGGGGAGATGGGTGAGGTAGGGGAGATAGGTGGTGAGGGAGATAGGTGAGGTAGGGGAGATAGGTGAGGTGGGGAGATGGGTGAGGTAGGGGAGATAGGTGAGGTGGGGGAGATAGGTGAGGTAGGGGAGATAGGTGGTGGGGAATAGGTGAGGTAGGGAGATAGGTGAGGTAGGGGAGATAGGTGAGGTAGGAGATAGGTGAGGTAGGGAGATAGGTGAGGTAGGGGAGATAGGTGAGGGTAGGGGAGATGGGTGAGGTGGGGAGATAGGTGAGGTAGGGGAGATGGGTGAGGTAGGGGAGATGGGTGAGGTAGGGGAGATAGGTGAGGGAGGGGAGATAGGTGAGGTGGGGAGATAGGTGGTGGGGAGATAGGTGAGGTGGGGGAATGGGTGAGGTAGGGGAGATGGGTGAGGTAGGGGAGATAGGTGAGGTAGGGGAGATAGGTGAGGTAGGGGCGATAGGTGAGGTAGGGAGATAGGTGAGGTAGGGGAGATAGGTGAGGTAGGGGAGATAGGTGAGGTGGGGGGAGATGGTGAGTGGGGAGATAGGTGAGGTAGGGGAGATGGGTGAGGTAGGGGAGATAGGTGAGGTAGGGGGCGGAGATAGGTGAGGTAGGGGAGATAGGTGGTGGGGAGATAGGTGAGGTAGGGGAGATGGGGAGGTAGGGGAGATGGGTGAGGTAGGGGAGATGGGTGAGGTAGGGGAGATAGGGTGAGGTAGGGGAGATAGGTGAGGTAGGGGAGATAGGTGGGAGTAGGGGAGATGGGTGAGGGTAGGGGAGATAGGTGAGGTAGGGGAGATAGGTGAGGTGGGGAGATAGGTGAGGTAGGGGAGATAGGTGAGGTGGGGAGATGGGTGAGGTAGGGGGAGATGGGTGAGGTAGGGGAATGGGTGAGGTAGGGGAGGGTGGGAGGATAAGGAGGTAGGGAAGATAGGATAAGGCAGATAGAAAGGGGATAGGATAGGGGTAGGGGAGGAGGTAGGCAGAGGTGTTGGACGAAGGTAACCTGAAGCAAACATCACATAAGGGGGCGGGGTGTGTACATCCCCCCCCGGCCTGAGTAGAACTGGGCGGGAGGGAGGGGGGGAGGGGGTAAAGATTAGACACCGTAGGTTGTTTCACCTTATGAGTAATGACCCTAATGCTAACACAACCTACTATCTAACCTAGCGTAGCGTAACCTAACCTAACCTATCCTAGCGTAGCGTAACCTAACCTAACCTATCCTAGCGTAGCGTAACCTAACCTATCCTAGCGTAACCTAACCTAACCTATCCTAGCGTAATCTAACCTAACCTATCCTAGCGTAACCTAACCTATCCTAGCGTAACCTAACCTAACCTATCCTAGCGTAATCTAACCTAACCTATCCTAGCGTAACATAACATAATCTAGCTCAACCTAACCTAATCTAACCTTACCTAACCTAATCTAACCTTACCGAACCTAACGCTAACCTAACCTAACCACCCATACGCCACAATAGAGGTCAAACGTGTCTAGAGGGGCGTAAACAAGGTTATAATACAGTACACATACTTTTTAACCCCGTATTACATAGTGGCGAGCAGTGTTACGTTATCATCAAATAATTGACATACCCGATTCTCGAAAACAAATAGCGTACATTAGTGTTATTATTACGTACATATATACATACATAAATACTGTACACATACCCTGTACATATATACTTACTTACATATGCATACATACTCATAGTCAATACATTATAGCCACTTAAATAGTCGCCTCACCTGAAGAATTTACACAACCCAATTTACTTGACTTGATTAGTAAATACCTTACCTAACCTAACCTAACCCAACCTAACCTAACCTAACCCAACCTAACCCGAACCCAACCTTAACCTAACCCGACCCAACCTTAACCTAACCCGACCCAACCTTAACCTAACCCGACCCAACCTTACCCAACTTAACCTAACCCCTCCCAGGTAGCGCTAGGGTGTTTAATCATCAGGTGAAATAAACTGATGTATCGATAAACTCCTCAGGTGGTGTAAAATATTCCTTTAAAACATAATAAAACACCAAGAATGATTTAAAGCGACGCCTCTTAAAACACCCACTTAGGTACTTTATACAGAGGCGCCTCAAACACACACACTGATTTAGGCAACATGACCAATGCTTAATATTTCGAGTACACCTGAAATTAAGAGAAAATGCCTGAGCTTAACTTTACCTGACCTAAGCTTATCTAACCTTAACTAAGATCACTTACCTAGATATACCTGACCTAAGCTTATCTAACCTTACTTTACCCGACCTAAGCTTACTTCATCTGATCTAATCTCACGGTAGCAACTCCCAAGCTGCCTTACGCAAATCTAATTTTAACTGGGCTAATCAAAACCTCCCTCCTTCCTCCCTCCCTCCCCCCCTTCCCTCCACCTCATTCTATGGCCCCTCCCTCCACTAACTTCTCACCACTGTAATTCCTTCCCCTCCTCCCTTCCCTCCCTCACAAGGAAAGTTCCCTCCACCATGCCCTTCCCCTTACAAGGTGCTATCCATACGCCCGCCCTCCCTCTAGCCAAATGCCCTCCATACTCCATCCCTATTACGGGGGAGAGAGAGAGAGAGAGACCTACTAGTATTCTACACAATTACCGACAACATTGTATATTCTCTCTCTTCTTCTTCACCATTATCAACACTCACTATCCCCATATGAAGATATCTCTACCATCTTACACCATAACTAACACCATTACTATGCACCAACTTTAACTCGCTTCACTATCCCTTCATCACTAAGTGCATATAGTCACCATTTCTCACGCAAACACCATTATCACCACTACACACTCAAACTAACACAATTACCGCCACTCTTCAAATTTACACCATTAACTTCACTCTCCTCAAACTAACACCATTATCTTCACTCTCCTCAAAATTTACACCATTAACTTCACTCCATTAAACAAAACACCACTATTATCTTCACAAGTTAACAAAACACCATTATCATCATCCCGACCAAAGCACCACCATTAACTTCACTATCTTCACACAACACTGTGCACCATAACCACTGCTGTGTGTGTGTGTGTCAATAGTCTGGTATTATAGTCGTGCTTAAGATGGTTTGGTAATGAGTGATGATGGTGTGGTAGTGGTGTGGCGGTGTGGCAGTGGTGGTAGGGATGTGGCGGTGGTGGTATGGGTGTGGCGGTGGTGGTATGGATGTGGCGGTGGTGTTGGTGTGGCGGTGGTGGTGATGTGGTGGTGTTGGTGTGGCGGTGGTTTGTGGTGGTGGTGTGGGGCGTGGTATTATTAGTGGTGGTGTGGGCGTGGTGTGGTGGTGGTGTGGGCGTGATGTTGGTGGTGGTGGTGTGGGCGGTGTGGTGGTGGTGTGGGCGTGGTATTATTTGTGTGGTGGTGGTGTGGGCGTGATATTATTTGTGGTGGTGGTGGTGTGGGCGTGGTATTATTTAAGAACATAAGAACATAAGAAAGTGGGATACTGCAGGAGGCCGACTGGTGATCCCTTTCACACCCATCCCAGCACTTCCATGTGCCTATCCAACTTCGTCTTGTCCCAGCGTCCCCGATCCTATAGAACTCGTAGTCTATTCCACATATCCACAACTCTATTTCCAAACCAGCTTGCCTGTGGTAGTGTGTGGTGGTGTGGGCGTGATAGTATGTGGTGGTGGTGTGGGCGTGGTATTATTTGTGTGGTGGTGGTGTGGGCGTTATTATTTGTGTGGTGGTGGTGTGGGCGTGATGTATTTGTGTGTGGTGGTGTGGGCGTGATTATTTGTGTGGTGGTGGTGTGGGGGTATTATTGTGGTGGTGGGTGGTGGTGGGCGTGGTATTATTGTGGTGGTGGTGTGGGCGTGATATTAAAGCGTGGTGGTGGTGTGGGCGTGGTAGGCGTGGTGGTTAGGCGTGGTATTATTTGGTGGTGGTGGTGTGGGCGTGGTGGTGTGGTGGTGGGTGCGTGGTTTGGTGTGGGCGTGGTGCGTGGTGGTGGTGTGGGCGTGGGCGGGTATTATGGTGGTGGTGGTGTGGGCGTGGGCGTGGTATTAGTGGTGTGGGCGGGCGTGGGCGTGATATTATTTGTGGTGGTGGTGTGGGCGGTATTATTTGTATGGTGGTGGTGTGGGCGTGGTATTATTTGTATGGTGGTGGTGTGGGCGTGGTATTATTTGTGTGGTGGTGGTGTGGGCGTGGTATTATTAATGTTTTTGGTGATGTGGGCGGTAGTATTAATGTTCTTGGTGGTGTGGGCGTGGTATTATTAGTGTTTTTGGTGTGGGCGTGGTAGTATTAATGTTCTTGGGTGGTATTATTAGTGTTTTTGGTGGTGTGGGCGTGGTAGTATTAATGTTCTTGGTGGTGTGGGCGTGGTATTATTAGTGTTTTTTGGTGTGGGCGTGGTATTATTAATGTTCTTGGTGGTGTGGGCGTGGTATTATTAGTGTTTTTGGTGGTGTGGGCGTGGTAGTATTAATGTTCTTGGTGGTGTGGGCGTGGTAGTATTAATGTTCTTGGTGGTGTGGGCGTGGTATTATTTTTGTGGTGCTGTGGGCGTGAGGGTTGGATATCTAACTAACCTGTGAAGAGACGTATGTAAGTGGTAGTAATGATGGTGGTAGACTAACCTGTATGGGGCGTGGCTGCTGGTGGTAGTAGTGGTGGTAGTTGGCGGCGTGTACAGTACCCACGTGGTGAGGCACACACGTACACTGACTACATTATCACCCACTGTGGCTACCATTATTGTTCCGTCACTAGTGTACGGGGGTGGTGGCATAGGCCTGGCCGGGGGTGGGAGGATAGGGGGGGTGGTGGGGGGCGGCTGACTCAGATGGTAAGAAGGTGGGCCTGCGTAGCTCTTGCCACCGCCCGCCGCCATGGCCCACCACCGCAGCCATCGTCAAATACGTAGGCCTAGTGGTGCACTGCTTGCCACTACTCTTCCTTATCGCAAGTTCTGGCCTTCCCCTCCGGCGTGCGAGAGGTGCGTCAGTGGGTAGAAACGTGCAGTGGTTCATGTGGCGGTGGGTGGGAGAGTGCGAGAGTTAGGGCCAAGACACAAGGCCTCCCTCCCCTGCCCACCAACACTTCCGCCCCTCGCACACAACATGGTGGTGGTGGCCACGATTTTGGGAGGGCGCGCGACCCCCCTCCACCTCACAGTGACTCCGCATTGCACAACCACCGGGTTCAATTTGCCTCTTGCAACACTCCCCTTGCACACCCACTGTTATCCCGCGTAGGAAACACCACATGACGTACATCCCGGGCGAGGTGTAGCGCAGTAGAGGAGCGGAGTGGCCGCCGCACCACCCTTCTGCCACAGTGTCTCACACCACACTAGCCCAGCGCGTCGTAGTACACTGCTTACCCACCCCTCCCGCGCTCCTCCTCCACTTCCCCCCCCCCTCCTAGTCCCTCTCTCCCTCCCTCTGCCACCACTACCTCACCCTCCCGCTCCCTCCCTCACCCTCCCAACCCCCGCTCATTGGTGATTCCTCTCTCGTAGGGATTTTCTTGCCTCACATATCTCTGCTTTCTCCACCAGGCTGGACGCAGCTCTCCTCCTCCCTCACCCGCCAGCCTTGCCGCTACCCCTTACCCTGCCTCCCCCACTCCTGGCCCTCTCACACATACCTGGGACCTCTCACACACACTTAGGACCCCTCTCACACACACCTGGGGCCTCTCTCTCTCCCCCCCCCCCCCCCCCCCCCCCCTCCCCCCTCTCCTCCTCTCTCTCTCTCTCACACACACACACACACATACCTGGGACCCCTCTCAACACACATACCTAAAACCCCTCTCACACACACATACCTGGGACCCTCTCACACACACATACCTGGGACCCCCTCTCACACACATACCTGGGACCCCTCTCACACACACATACCTGGGACCCTCTCCACACACACACATACCTGGGACCCCTCTCACACACATACCTGGGACCCCTCTCACACACATACCTGGGACCCCTCTCACACACACATACCTGGGACCCCTCTCACACACACATACCTGGGACCCCCTCTCACACACACATACCTGGGACCCCTCTCACACACACATACCTGGGACCCCTCTCTCACTCTTCTCCGGCCCTCTCACTCCCCAGATGATACCAAATGTTATATAATAATTCCTTGAGATAAATGTACAGTATATATCAGGTGCCACTAAGAGAGCTCAGCCGTGTTAATAGTGTTCTTATTGTCTAACCTAACCTAACCTAACCTAACCTAACCCAACCCAACCCCAATCCGGGAAGCGTTGGGAGGATTAAACTTAAAAGCGAAATAATTTGAGGGTGGGTTAATCTTCAGGTAATCCTTTGAAAATTAACCTAGAAAGGCTTTAATCCACCAACTGAGTAGAGAGAGAGAGGTCTAAAGTTCAGGTAATTCACAGGGTAAACATTCAGGTAAGCAAATCCCTCACTAACACCTTACACCACACGTTTACTCACCTCACACTCCCGCCCTTACTGACCAGACTCATAAGGTTTTGTCTACGTGAGCCAAACATTACAGACCAACTAACACTACAATGATCTGTAATAGTTTCTTCCTTGTTAGTGGTGGGTTAATAAATTGGTATAAAGTTCAAGTTAATACGGGAGATATGATGTACGCCAGACACTGTTGATTGCTCGACCTGGCGCTGTTTCTATGACCACTTGGTTCCGGTGTAGCAGTACCCATGATGGCAATATTGCGAGGTGCAGGGGATTCGCTCGCCGGGCGCTGATGACTGCTCGTGGTGGCGCTCGCTGTTCGCTGGTGTTAGGACTCTCTCTCTCTCTCTCTCTCTCACACACACACACACACACACACACACACACCCCTCTACCACCACAGCTCCACGCCACACCACCACCCAGCCAACAGGAACTATCACCACTTCCAAGAACTCCTCCCGCTCGACCTCTTCCCCCCTGGTTCTCATGACTTGTTTCCCTGTGTGATGATAAAGGTGATGAGACACGATCATTCTACCAGGTGTCTTAGCATTTCCCTATACCCTACTGGATGATAGGATGGGCGGACGGCAGGATGGTAGGACGGTAGAATGGGCGGACGGCAGGACGGGATGACGGCAGGATGGGAAGACGGTATGATTGCATGACGGACGGCAGGATGGGAAGACGGTATGATTGCATGACGGACGGCAGGATGGGAAGACGGTATGATTGCATGACGGACGGCAGGATGGGAAGACGGTATGATTGCATGACGGACGGCAGGATGGGAAGACGGTAGGATTGCATGACAGGCGGAAGGTTACCATAACGGCAGGATACAAATACATGATACTGGGTGTTGTTGTTCCCGGCCCGTCCGTGACATTTTTCGCGTCACTTCCAAAGGTCATACACGACCAGTGACCCGCCCGCTCACTTAGCATTATTAAACAGTGCCAGATTTCCTACTTATTAAACAGTGCCAGATTTTCTATGGGTGCTTATTTCTTATTGACTAAACTTAGCCAGATTTCTTATAGTTCCCTCATGACCAGAATTCCAGCAGTCTCCAGGGCCCGGCATTCTTTCACCGAAATTCCATGACTTTCAGAGGTCTGGAATTCCCACTCATGAATTCACACGATTTTCCATGACCAGTTGTAGCAGCAGTTCATGACCTCCATCACACATCACTTATGGAGGATTTCATGACGCCAGCGACCATTAAAGTAGGATTTCATGATTTCAGAAACCATTAAAGTAGGATTTTATGACGTCAGAAACCATTAAAAGAGGATTTTATGACGTCAGAAACCATTAAAGTAGGATTTCATGGCGTCAGACACTTTTAAGTAAGATTTCATGATAAATAAGTAGGATTTCATGAACTTTCAAGGATGTGGAATTCTCATCATGTATTTCCGTGACTCCAGATGTGCGTCAGGCCTTGATTAAATGGGAGACGGTGTGTGTGGGGGGGCTGTCACTTAGAGGCCTTCCTGACACATCCCCCTCGGTCACTGGGGGGCTGTCACTTAGAGAGGCCTTCCTGACACATCCCCTCGGTCACATCTCTCTCCACAAGCCACACCTCCTTACTCAGCCACACCTCCTTTACGTCTATTACCCTACCAGCTGTGAACCCCCCCTCCGCATGGTTCACCTACACCTCCCAACACCCTGCATGGTTCACCTACACCTCACCAACACCCTGCATGGTTCACCTACACCTCACCAACACCTGCATGGTTCACCCACACCTCACCAACACCCTGCATGGTTCACCTACACCTCACCTACACCCTGCATGGTTCACCTACACCTCACCTACACCCTGCATGGTTCACCCACACCTCACCAACACCCTGCATGGTTCACCCACACCTCACCAACACCCTGCATGGTTCACCTACACCTCACCAACACCCTGCATGGTTCACCCACACCTCACCAACACCCTGCATGGTTCACCCACACCTCACCTACACCTGCATGGTTCACCCACACCTCACCAACACCCTGCATGGTTCACCTACACCTCACCCACACCCTGCATGGTTCACCTACACCTCACCAACACCCTGCATGGTTCACCCACACCTCACCTACACCCTGCATGGTTCACTACACCTCACCAACACCCTGCATGGTTCACCTACACCTCACCTACACCTGCATGGTTCACCCACACCTCACCAACACCCTGCATGGTTCACCCACACCTCACCTACACCCTGCATGGTTCACCTACACCTCACCTACACCCTGCATGGTTCACCACACCTCACCAACACCCTGCATGGTTCACCTACACCTCACCAACACCCTGCATGGTTCACCTACACCTCACCTACACCCTGCATGGTTCACCTACATCAGGACACAGGTGGCGCTCAACCCTTCCTATCTGTGTTCTAATCAGGGGTGCAAGATATGCTCTCTAGGTTAAAGGAGTCCCCCGTTAAAATAGTCCCCAGTCGCCCCCACCTGACCTATTACAACTGGGGCCTATTATAACTGGGGCCTATTACGACTGGGGTCTATTACGACTGGGGTCTATTACGACTGGGGTCTATTATAACTAGGGCCTATTACAACTAGGACCTATTACAACTAGGACCTATTACAACTAGGACCTATTACAACTAGGACCTATTACAACTAGGACCTATTACAACATGGGCCTATTACAACTAGGACCTATTACAACATGGGCCTATTACAACATGGGCCTATTACAACTAGGACCTATTACAACATGGGCCTATTACAACTAGGACCTATTACAACATGGGCCTATTACAACTAGGACCTATTACAACATGGGCCTATTACAACATGGGCCTATTACAACATGGGCCTATTACAACTAAGACCTATTACAACTGGGATGCAGATAGACAATTAGAATGTTCACTAAAGATCAATGAACAACTATTAACGAGAACATGGGGATTGATACATACATACATACATACATACATACATACATACATACATACATACATACATACATACATACATACATACATACATACATACTGTACACACATTCATGAGGATCGAACCAGTGAGGACAGCTACCCCGTTATGCGCAGTTCCCTCCCAACGGATAACAGATGATGAGCAACGGGTGACAGCTATCTCTCGTTCCAACGGAGTCTCATACCGTTGCCACTTACATACATACACACAAATATACATATACATACAAACATATACAGAAACAATCATACATACATACACGGGCAGAAGCAGGCAAGCAGGTGGGATGCAGCGGGCGGGCGGGAGGGCGGGAAGGAAGGAGGGAGGGAGGGAGGGAGGGAGGAAGGCGGGAGGGAGGAAGGCGGAGGGAGGGAGGCGGGAGGAGGGAGGGAGGGAGGGAGGGACACCGACGCGTGGCGTGTGGGGAGGAACCGTTCAATACAGGAGGAGGGTGAGTGAGTGTGTGAGAAAGAGTGAGAGAGAGCAGTGTATGTATGTGTGTGTGTGTGTGTGTGTTACGCTACGCTACTACGCCGCTGCTCCACTCTACACTCTCATTCACGATCCCACCACCACCACCACACGGGATGCACACTCTTATGTTGTGCTTCAAACGCCCTTACTACTACTACCACCATCACCACAACTAAGGAGGCTCCCCCACCACACACATACACAGTGAATGTACTACCAACCCGCCCACACCACTACTACCACAATTAGCATGCCTACTGCACCACCTGCTCGGGCCACATCACCGCGTAAAGGCCGGTGGCGCTAACATTACCACCACCATCTGCACGGCCACACCACCACCATCTGTACGGCCACACCACCACCATCTGTACGGCCACCACCACCATCTGTACGGCCACACCACC